TATCAGACTTAATCTCAACAATGTTTCCTACTGTACAAAAAAAAGTTCAGCTTCTCAGATTGGAGAAGTCATTTCAGATACATCTATAAAATCAATGGATTGACACTGATTTACATCACAAACATTTAGACTTTTTATGCCAATTTCAAAGGGGTTGTTCTGGTAACTTCATACTTCTCATCTGATCCATCATTTTGTTCCACACATGACTATAGAAACCAACTCACATTTTGAAACTTCCTTATTTCACTGTAAATCAGTAACAAATGTCCAATTTATCCTCCAACATTTCCCAAAATTTGGCACCATTGTTGACAGCTCATTAGAAGGCTGGTATCTTTACCTCAAACTGCATTTCCCTGACTACAATCAGCAAACACTGTAACTTGGTGACCCTTTAAAATAAAAGAACTGGTGTTTCTTTTAATTTCATACTTATTTCAGAATGTTCACAATTGCCTACTAAATCGAGTTAAAATGAAAAGTTTAATAAACCAGTCTCCAGATTTTTTCCATGATCGGGACAGTTTCAAATGTCATATTTACAAGTTTTTATTAGTAGAGACATATGGGCCATAAGAGCATTTCCTGCCAAAGCCCTTCCTTCAAGTCTAAAAGACAAAGGTTAGAGGCCTTGGATTTATTTGGCAGAACCTCCAAGATGCATAGCAACCTTATCTTCAATCATTGTACTGGGGTAGGTTCTACCACTGTGTAGATAAGTTTTAATGTGATCTTATTCTGTAAATATACTGTAGATGCATCTAACACAAGACATTTACGGTGGAGTAGACTAATTTGCTTCACAGTAAATGTCTCACATCTACATGTGCAATGCTATTAGGTAGGAGTAAACTGATTAACTCCGCAACAGGATAGTACTTTTTACTCTGCAGCACTGCACGTGTAGAATCTGTTGTGGCTGGATGGGGTACAAGGTTGATTCAGTGTGGGGGCTGCCTTTTAGCTAGCCCTGCACTGGAGTACCTGGGCTGCCTTTTAGCTAGCCCTGCACTGGAGTCCCTTCCTGCCCCAGCCAGCTCCTCTGCAGCACATTTAAACAGGTCAGAGCAGCCCTGGGCTGCATGCTCTTTGTGTTACGGGGAGTGAGATGGAGGACATGGCTCAATGTGCCACAGTCCCAGGGCACATGTAAACACAGTGCCAAGGAGCAACAAACTCCAACACGATATGTGCCAGTGTTTATCGCATCACATTAGTATGACCTGTATGACCTAATTAGTTTGTTCTCCAGACCTGCTGTCATTTTGATTTGAAATAAAGTATGTAGCTGAATTTAAAAGAAGTAAACACCAAAACAAAATGTATTAAAAGATTCCTTGTCAATGTGTATATTGTGAAACCCAGAGGTGTAATAGGACATCCAAATCCCCTGGGTGGCAGCAGGGGCTAGGCTGTTGGTAGTGCAGGAGTGACTGCTCCAGCAGCACAACTGTAGCTATTTCTGCATCCTCCATACGCCTGACAAGGGCTGGTGCCCCAGCACATGCCCTTGTTATGCCCTTCCTCTCCCCCTTTATTATGCTATTGATGTAACTTCTCCCCTCAAAGCACTATAGCTTATAGCAACTAGGTTATCTTTAGTTGGTAGGCATGAACCATGCATGAGAAGAGGAAAACTTTTCCAGGAACTTCTTCACAGTTAGAGTGGCCAGGGTATGGAACGGGCTCCCAAGGGAGGTGGTGCTCTCCCCTACCCTGGGGGTCTTCAAGAGGAGGTTAGATATGCATCTAGCTGGGGTCACCCCATCACCCTTTCCTGCCTATGCAGGGGGTCGGACTCAATGATCTATTGAGGTCCCTTCCAACCCTAACATCTATGAATCTATGTCAATCTATTTAAAAAAAAAAAAAAAAAAGGAAGAGCAGAGGAGAAGGAAATTGAGAAGTACAGGTTTCTTATTACAGGTGTGAGGGTGGGAACCCCTTCATTAAGTGAACAAAACAAAACAAACCACACTACATGCACACACAACCCCAACTCAAGAAGCAACTAACCACCAACTTAAATCTCATGGCATTAGCCTTCCCTTCCCCCCAAGCAAGCCTTAAAAAAATCACTTTACTCTATAGAAATATATATGTTAGCAAGGAAAATAACAAACAAACAAACCAACACACACACATACCTGACTCAGTGGACAATAAGATGAGCAGCCAGAATGATTTCTGTCCAGCTGTCCTTTTCATGCATGCGAATATGGAATACAAACTGGGCTTAACAAGGTTTCCAATTAAGCAGAAATACAAATATATATATTAGTTGCAAGAGAATTATAATGTTTTTCCAGTGTAAATTTGATTTTGTTCCACAGAGGAAAATCCGATATGAAATTGTTTCCCACACACAAGACACAATTATTTTGGTATCTTCTCACTGTAACTCAGCTAGAATTCTCATACTCTTTATGAGAATACTGTATGGGCACCAGATCAGTCCTTAGCAACAATCTATGTTTAGTACATAAATAGTGAATGAATTACTGGCCTTTTGATGCTTTCCTTTACACTGTTACCTGTACACTGTTAAAGTTTTCCCTTGCCCCATTTGGAAGTAGTTTAACAAGCCCACAGGATGGTGGAACTGTTAGAGAACGCAAGATATTGATTCATTATTTACCAAGGAAAAAGCACTCTGTAAAATAATCAGATACAAAGGTGTAATATACAAACACTTTGTAAATTCACTGTGCTTGTATGAACTGTTACTGCAGTCATGTTTTGATCCTACAAAGTTTAGAGCATCCTTTAGTCAAGGACAGGTGTAGACATTCATCATTTGAATAGGTTTGAGTCTCATATTCTTTTGCAGTACATCAGTGGCATCCATTTTTTGTCACCACAAGGCTCTCACACAATATTCAATAAAGGTCAAGAGCTATAATTAGCACCCTGGGCACAAAGAAGCAGAAGCCACCCTTCAGTTTTCTCTCTCTCCTGAGAATCCCCTAACGCAAAAACATCATAATAGACTCCTCTGTCTCATTCCCTGTAGCACAAGTGGCATGCAGCTTTAATGAGGGGATGGAACTTAATCCACGAACACAGGATAACTCGGGTGTCCCCAGATACATTTCCAGGCTAAAGCTAACTAGCTGCTTTTTTCTCAGCTTCTCTTTTTCCTGTCATTTGGGCCTGGGTGGTTGTGCAGTAGAGGCCTTTAGCATGAATGCTGCATGCCCCTGGAGGCTGGGGGGGGAAGGGGGGCACGGCACGGCACGGCAAGCTCCCGCAGGCATCAGCAGCACTGTTGGCGGTGGGAGCGTGGCGGCAGCAAGCGGAGAGCTCTTGCAGGCAGCTGTGGTGCTGTTGGCAGCAGGGGGGTGGCAAGCACCGACCACTGGTCAGTGATCACCCGTAGATGCCACCAGCAATGTTGGCGGTGGCAAGCAGCAACTGCACAGTGTTGGTAGGGCCTTTTTGCAAGGGGTGCAAGTGCACCCCCTATGTGTCGCCAATAGCCTTTAGGACATGCAGGAAGAGTCAGTCAAGCGCTTTCTTTGCTCCTACTATCTCTCCCATACTCCTGATGGGAAGCAGTGTGCAAAAACAGACAGAACACCTCTCTCCCCTCATCTGCAATGTAGTGAACACCAAGCAGTTGCCTCTGCTGTAGCACATGGGTCACCCAGTCAGAGGTAATACCACTACCAGCTTTCCAGAGCAATCATAGTCGACTCAAACACTTTACAGACTCAAGAGCTGGGTGGCTCAATTGGCACATTTTCAATTCAATCAAAATACATGTTTTAGTCTTAGACAGAAAAGGTTCTTTGGGTAGATGTGATATCTTTTACTAGACCAACTACATTTTTTATTCCTAAACACTCACAGGACACACTAAAATTGTGTGCCTAATTTCCAGTTTCATTTAGTCTGGCATAACCTTTCAGTCATTGGTTTTGTGATGCTTTTTCTACCCTGGATTTAGTAAGCATCTGTCTGGGCGAGACACATCAGCTTACTGAACGTAATCCTCACTTGAAAGATAAAGCAAACCTGGAGTGATCTCTCCAGGGTGCAAAAGCCTAGGCAGTGTATATGGACACACTGAGCTGCCTACACACCAGTGTTACCCTTAGCCTTCTTTAGGATCCAGTGTTTTCTCCCCAAGAAGGTATTTACACACAGTCATCAAGCTGTTTCTTGACTGTCAGACAGTTCTCTAGAAGTTACTCACTGCAATCCATTTCTCCTGCCCTCAAATCATTCCTGTGGTTCATTTCAAACTGCCTAATTCTCAATTTCAAAACCAAACTGAGCATGGACACTGCAGCTGTACTGGAATAGTTTGGGCCTGTAGGTGTGGTCCAGTTTCCTGGATGCAAATGTTAGGGCTTCCATTCTAACTAATGGCTGGCTGCTATCTCCCCACCACCCCAAAGCGTACTTTTCAAATGGCTGTCAATAAGTTTTGAGTTGTGCACCCCAGCTTTACCACTCTAGGGATCTCAACCCTTGATGTAATTTTTAATAAGAAAAAAAAGTGAGGTCACCAAGTTTTTTGTGGATCATAGGTAAACTTTGAGACTTAAATAAGGCTGTATTTGAGAACCATTGTTGGAAGTATTTATGAATAAACCAGAGTCCTTCAGAGTACAAGAGAATGTCTGATCCTAAATGATTGCTAAAACGCAGAATAATTTTAGAACAAGGCTGATACTGATGGGCCCAAATCAAAGCCCACTGAAGTATATGGAAATATTTCCAATGAATTTAATAGGCTTTGTTTCATACTAAATGTTAGTAAAGAATTTTATTTTTTTTAAATGCCTGTTTGGGGACTAAAGGTATTATTAAAAAAGAAAAAGATCTAACAAAACCACCCAAAGCAGACAAGCACAAACAGAAATACAGCTGGGGGTTCAAGCAAGTCGCTTTGTTGATGAACTAAACTTTATTTATAGCATAAGGCAAACACACATAATTTTAACTCAACAGACTATGTGAAGTACATGTGAAGAGAAACAAAAGGATACAGCATAGGCAGTATGTTTCCACCCATGTGGAAGCAAAGGTATGTAGATCCCAAATCCCACAATAGCCAGGTATGTGTATAGCAGCAAAGCAACAATCTGGAAGCAGTGGAGTGGTAAAGACCAGCCATTCACTCTAGAATGCAGGGGTGGAGAAACCAGGTCGTTTCCACTGTTCAGCTGTTCGGGTCCTGTCCTCCTTAACCTCCTGTCATAGCAGTTTATCTGCAAGGAAGCAAAGAGAATTTTATGTACAACCTGTTAAAAATACCTCCCCCTAGGCTTTTCAGAGTTACCAGGTAGTAGGCAACCATTGATCCTCTGGATCATGGTTTGTGTGTAGGAAGTCTACTCAGGTGCCTGACAAATCCGCTTGTACAAAGTCCTGCAACCATCTCACCAAGACCTTTGATGCACACATCTAGGCAATAATACAGAGGAGTGGAAGCTACCCAAGACCTACCATCCCCACTTTAGACCACCGAGACAGAATCCAAAGGCCAGACTGAGTCCAGACATTCAGTGCCTTGATGGCTGTAGTTTCTGCCAGAGAGCAACAGATAAGAAATGCTGCTAACTATCTAATGCCTTCTGTCAGGATGATGTCCCTTAATCTTATGTTTTCCATGTGCAAACAAGCATTGCCAAGAATTATTAATAAAAGGAAAACTCCTCCAATCACAAAGAGCTTTCTGAGGTAGTGGTCATACAAGAAATAGGACTGGGTATCTGCCTGCCTGTTTCAAGGAGTCCTTGGAAGCAGGTAGACAGCACAACCAAATGCAGACTGCGATCGATTCTGTTTGAAATCTAAAAGATTAAAAAAAAAAAAAAAAAAGGCAAAAACAAATGCATTTTATTTCAGTCTTCCAGAAAATTATGCAAAACAAAACTAAATAGTCATGCTTCTCTGGAGGACTGTTTAATGCCTATTTGTTTTGTAGAGTTTTACGCCAGAAAGTTAAATCTTTGAAGTGTGATTTGAGAAGGTGCCCATAATTGTTTAACTAAATCAAATCTTACCAGATTTTACAAGGGAATTTCCATGGGAGTTCACATACCACCAGCCACTTCTGAAAATACAATATTGAAGTACATCCGCTAGTCAGAGACCCAAGCCCTCAATCAAGGGATTGCATCTACTCTTACTATAAAATGTAGTATTTCAATTTCATTCACTTTACACAATTAAAATAACTGATACTAAAGTCTTGGGGGTGCGGGGGAGTATTAACATAAGAGGCATACGTATACACACCTATCAGTTGTTACAGGAAGATATACAACAGGTGCGCATTTGGGGAGGGAAAAAACCACAGTACTGTACTTGGTGCTACTCTTTCTCTTTTAGTTCTCTTACCTAGATACTTCTGATCCCTCAATAAAAGGGTCATTGGACAGACTTTGATTTGTCAAATTAGAGGAGCATCAGTTTAAGTTCTGAGGTATGTGGACACAGAACTTAAAATATAGCACCATTTATAGAATAAGACGGAATGAAAAAACCTGATGCGTCTACTCGCCACTAGCAAACACAAAGCTTTCACCATCCAGCCTAAGGCCTTAAAACAACATTTAAACAGAGAAGTTCAGCTTTCATTTAAAAGCTTGGCAAGTGCAAAGGGAGAGGAGACTGAGGCACTACCACATACCTCTCCCTAAAACTTCAGCTGCTGATCCCAGCTTTACCATAACTAATGAAGGCTGCAGTCTGCTGCTGTTTGACTAATATAAACGGCAATTCATAGCCGTTTTTAATAAAGGTGTGAATAGTAGTGAAACTCAAAAAGAAGACATGCCAGTTTTAAATGTCTGCTGCCTTCCTGCAGGGAGGTACCAGTGGTAGCAGTCCTCTGCAGCACGTTGAAACAGGTCAGAGCAGACCCTGGAGTGCTCTCCTACATACACAGGCTGGAGGACAAAGTTAAAGGTCTCTCCCAAGATTCCCCCACCCCCATTAAAGCACTGCAAACTCTAGAGAAAACTCAGAGCAAAGAGCAGAGGTGTAGGGGGAAAAAAAGGAAGAGGCAGAAAAAACATCTCCCCTCTCCAAGCTACAGAAATTTGAGGCCCCCATATTTACCACTTACCTACTCAACAGCAGCTGCACAGCCCCAATAGATACAACCTAATGACTAAGGCCCTTAGAATTTAAACCATCCCTCCTAAACCTAAGAGAAAACAAGGGAAAGGACCCTGCCTTATTAAAGCAAAGGCTAGATGCTGTACAAAAGTCAAGATTAAAAAAAAAAAGCAGTGCAGACAATTCTAGTGGAAAGAAGAGCCCTAAGTAACTGGAGCTGGCTGAAAAAGCAGGTCATAGCATTCACAGAAGTGTAATCCCACCGAACATATTTCAAACCTTGCTGAAAGTCAGCTTCATTAGACAGCTGAGAAAGCAAGCCCCATCTTCCCCCCTGCCCACTAGCAGACACATATAAAGCAACAGCAATTCCATGTTCTTTAGGCCTCACTTCTGCTTTTTGGTTGGGCTGGGGAAATGGAGGAAGGAAGTCGAACAAACACAAATTCCCTTTGACTTTTAAATGTTAATACAAAGATTCTCCTGCTCCTAGATCTTTAGCAGGTTCAGGGTAAAAACCTTTATGGCCACATGTGAACAGAAAAAGTGCACACACACAAGGCAGGTGGAAGCGGGGCAAGGGGGCACTTTTTCTGGAGAACTCCTCCTCTCACTCTAAGCACTGGTGTAACATTGAGGCCTTGGCTGACTCTTTACCTTTGCACTATCTACATCCCATCCAAGGAATCCTCCAGCCATTATTCCCAGCGCTCAGCTTCCCCCAGGCAGACAACTGCCTACAGGAGAGAAGGTGAAGAACATGGGATATACCCGCTCTCAATTACATGCGAGTCTTGCTGTTTGATGGAGAAGAGCTGAAAATACATTAGCTTTCCCAATGTTTATTTATGCATATGCTCCCCTCTTGTGATCCCACTTCACAGCACAATGGGAACCACATATTTATATAGTTCCCTTTGTTTATTTCAGTATTTCTTGGCTGGAGTTACTATAGGCATGTCACATATACAACACCTGAAGCCACAAGTTCCCCATCAGAACTCAGGTGTGTTTAGAGCCCCGAGAGCTCTCAGTACAAATGCATGCGTTTAGGTTCCAGTCAACCCAAAAAGTAAATCCAAAATAATCCTGCCTTGGCACCGGCTGGAAAAAAGAGATAGCAACATTTCCCTCACAGAATGAGGGCTCAACAAGTCAGATAGAGGCCTCTACCGGCCAGCTGCATAAATGACAACAGATCAGACAAATTTCAGCAGCTGTGTTTACTTTGTGTTGTCAAGAGAAGCTACCCTAATGCTGTGACACTCACAGCATCATCTTAAGTGTTGGCAGGCCTCTAAAAAAAAAAAATAAAAATCAAAAACCTTATATGCCTCCACAAATGGCCAGGGCATTTGCCATTACTAGATGCACTTGAAGAATTCCTACAAAGCAGGTAGCTTGCGCAGTGATGGAGCAGACTGAACTTGGAGTTCGGACCCAGAGTCCTTCTCTTCCCCAACATCAGTACAAATGACATCATCACTAGACCAAACAACACTGATGGTAATATCCAAGGTTCATTCACTTGCAATTCTACCTACATCATATGCACCATCTCCTTATCACAGTGCCCCTCTGCTGTCTACACTGGACAAATGGGACAATCCCATGAAAGAATGAACACTGATCTATCATCAGCTGCAGAAAGACATGCAGGCCAGTGGCAGAATACTTTAACCTCGGGAAAATTTCATCACTGACCTGAGGGTGACGATCCTTAGACAGCAAACCTTTCAAAACTGTTTTGAGTAGGAAACTGAAAAAAAACAAGAAATCATCCACAGACTGCATTTATTAAGTATGGTTTAAACAGGGACTGTGGATTCTTACTCCTCTCCTTGGATTAGCTTTTGTAACTCCTTTGTTCCGATGGGTTTATTGCTTACTTGCCTCTCCCAGCTTTCTCCCTACCCCTTCTCCCTCTACCCTCCCCACAAGTTTCCCTTCTGTGTTTTGTATTCAATTTTCTCTCTCCTTAAACACTGCTTTGTGCACTTCCTTTCACAGTGTCTGATAAAGCGAGCTTCCGTCCACAAAAGCTTATGCTACGTCTACTTTGGTTATTCTCTAAGGTGCAAGTTTGCTTTCTACTTGACTTCAGACTAACAAGGGTAACTACATCATTCTAACTCCTCCTGCCAATGAAACTGTCCTTACTCAGCCACAAGTGCACTCACACATAAGGGATTCTAGACAGCTTGTTCCAGATGGGCTCTGTAAATATGTCTTAATATGGAACCATCTTCATCTCAACCCAGACTCAGTGTAAGAGGAGAAACAAAACCAATGACTATGAAGATGCTCATCATGTAAACTAGTTGTATTGCTCATCCAAATACATGAAAAATCCTTATGTATTCTCCTTGGAACACATTTTTTACCTTGATTTCCACTGCTGACTTAGCCTTCTGTGGTACTTACTCTTCCATGCAGCTTGTGTCACTGGACAACAAGAAACGTTCAACTCTTAACACCTTTCCCTTTCTGACTCAATTTTCTAGACCTGTATGACGTAGTACACTCTTCAAGGCAGCAACCACATTCTTTGTACTTCCGGTCCACTTCTGGGTTCACCGCCTAACACGTGGAGGGCGCCCCCCGTAGTCCTGTGAGACGCTCCATGCACCCCAGCATTGCAGCTATCACGAGCCGTGCCCGCTACCTCAAGGTATGTAGAAAACACTTTTAAAGCTGTGTCTATATCCAAATCGCTGATTCTCTGAATCAGCATCAACTCTTCAGATTTGGATTTGGCCGAATTGAATCAGGGACAGTGATCCTAATCAATTAATCAAATCCCTGTCCCTGATTCAGGCTTTGCACACCACTACCCCCCCATGCTTTAATGAATGAATGAGTATGAGTCACCAGTGTGATGCTACAGTTAGCAGAGTAAACAATACGCTGGCATGCATCAACCAATGCATCTCAAGTAACACTAAGGAAGTTATTCTCCCACTCTACTAGGCATTGGTGAGGCCGTAGCTGGAGTACTGCATCCAGTTCTGGGCACTACACTTCAACAAAGATGTGGAAAAGCTTGAGAGAGTCCAGAGAAGAACCACTCATATGATTAGAGACCTGAAGAGCAAGCCATATGAAGAAAGGCTGACAGATACGGGACTGTTCAGTCTAGAAA